TATAGCCTAACCAACACAAAAGCTACTTATTTCAATTGTAAATTTTCTATAATTTTTCATACATGCCCATGTGTCCTTTTCTTAAGTTGTTATCATTGAATAAAAAATATTTAACATAGGTATATATCAATACATAATCAACTCAATCCACCACAAGTACACAATAATGTCACTCTACCATCAAACTTTATTAAAGACGCATACAACGATACTCAACCATAAATTCAACTCATAAACCCTATCAAATTAAATGAAAGTTTAATTTTACTAATTGGTGTTGAGCAATTGTGCGCAAGTCTGACTTTCTACTGTGTTCCTTCTAAAACTCTTCCTTTAAATTATTCTCATTTGAGTCTAAGTCACTATTACAACTAGGATAGACAAGGGGTCTTGTAAGCCTTCAAACACCTCATTATTTCGGCCTATGTTTGCAGATCATGGAAGTCTATTATTTTGGCTCTAACTATGAGGATGCTCGTAATCGGTTAGTCGGTTAACCGCTTAACCGTCGGTTATTAACCGTTTAATCATCGGTTAGTTATTAGCTAAATTTGGCTACCAGGAACAGACCGTTTCTCATTTAATCGGTTATCGATGTAACCATTAACGAAATAACCGTTTATCAGCCCTAATTAGGGAGAAGATAGGGTACAAACCTCATAAAAGGTTATCACCATGCTAACTCACATCTAAACCATACACTCCTATTTTAGATCTGCTAATTGTTAATAAATGAAGGCCAATTTAGAGAAATCATGAAAATTCAAAAATAATAAATAACGTAATTTTTAGGAAAATAAAACAATAATCAATTCCCTCTCTCGTATCTCTCTCTCCCATTCTCCTCCACTAAAATGGGGCCTGGCCGGTTGACCGGGTAATTTTTTTATCGTAGTTTGAGCATGAGGTTGAGAATTCCGCTTGATTATTAGTTGATAATTATAGATTTTCTCATATGCTTTATACAGGTCAAGTGAGCACATACACATTACTAATATTTTGATTATGGTTTTCCACATCATCTCAATGTTCTCAAAGATTACGTTATAAATTGAGAATTAAGAATCAAAATATAAAAGTTCTCTGGCCTTCTCATTGCTAGTTTCTACTTTCTTAGACATATTTATTCACCAAAAATCATTTAGCTCCTAACGTAGGCCTTATTTGAGGACTCAACATGTAACATACAAATTTACATCAAAATGTAAGGTTTCATTTAGTTATTATACTCACCCGCTACAAAAATAAATAATGTACATATGGTCTTGACTCTCCGGTAAAGTTTTTAGTTGAAGACAATATACATGCTTTGAGATTCATGATCTTTTTCTGATGGTTAATGCATTCCACTTTAGCTTGTGGACTTTTACTTTTACGATTGTGCTTTAATAATTAGAACATTGACCCTTAGCTTACATAAAAAATACTAAATTGGGTATTTTTTATGAATGATTGGACGCTTTCAAAATGAAGCACACAAAAATTTATTTGACTTCATCTGCACCCTATTATTGATTCTTGCTAGAGATTTCTTGACTTTCTCCTAAGTATCTTCCATGTAAATTTGAAGTCTCTTATAGCAAAACTTTGACAGTAGCCATAATAGTTCCAACACTATGTAGCAACTACATATCATATTTGGTTAGTATGTAAGAATAAATTCTGTGTATATTTTTGTTCAATGACTTCTACCTATATCTTCATGGGTTAATGTTTTTTTTTTCATTTCAAATAAAGATTGGACCTAATATAGGGGGGGGGGGGGGGGGGGAAACCAAAAGTACCATCGTTTAAAAAAAATTACAAAACTACCACCCAATCCAAAAAATTTACAAAACTATCACCATTAATAAAAAACCGCACCCCGAAGGGGCCGTTCTCCTTCAAACCGCGTGGGGAAGGAACGGTTCTTGCTAGGAAAGCCGAAAAACCACACCTCTACGTGGCGGCCCATGCAACCGTGCGATGGGTCGGCGATCCGATGGCGAACCGCATGCCAGGTGAGCGATCCGCGTCTGGTCGCAATAACCGTTCCCTAAGGGCGCGATTTACACTGCGGGAAAAGGAAATTGTGTGCGGGGGACGCGGTTTGCTTTGGGGGGAAATTACCAAATCGCCCTCTACCAGGCGGTCCATACACTATAAATAGCCGCTCCTTTCATTTTCTTCACACCAAAACCAATCCTCTCTCTCTCTCTAAGTTTATCACTCTACCCATCCCACTCTCCACCAAAAAAACCTAGGAAATAGTGATCTCTTGGTTGCGGCTAAGTCCGAACTGCCATCAGAAAACTTTTCTTTGGTTTTTCCTGCAAAACATGTCGAATCCCTGTCCGGCTTCCTGAAAAAAATGGTGGATATTTTCGAAGAAGAGGGTATTTTTTTATGATGACTATCAAGCGGTACATACTCATCTTACCTAAATCGCAGGGGGTGCGGTTTGTGCCTCGACATTATAAACCGCATGCTTGTGGTGCGGTTTCTACTGCCGTCAAAGAACCATTCCGCGAGCACGCGGCTTTGCTAGGGTAGCCATAGAAACCGCTTCCTTAGATGGCGGTTTGACCATATAAAAGAAACCACAGCCTTAGCATATGCGGTTTATCTGTGAGTCATTCCTTCCCCACGCGATTTAAAGGAGAACCACCCCTTCGGGCTGCGGTTTTTGATTAATGGTGGTAGTTTTGTAAATTTTTTTGGGTTGGGTGGTAGTTTAGTAAAAAAAAATTAACGATGGTACTTTTGGATTTTTCCCTAATATAGGACGTGTACAAAGTGTAGAATTCATTAAAAAAAGTGTGGAATTGTGGTGGTTTAGGAAACATAGTTTCCCAAATTGTGATTGATTTGAAAATTTTTAATTGTAAAGAGTGCCAACGACCATAGTATTTGTGACGGTACATGTGCATACCGATTATATAAGGTAAATAAATTATAGCCAGTGACTCCATACCGATTCCTTTTATCATCATTATATTATAATTATGTTTTACATGAAAATTTTAAGTAGGAGTTGAAAAGATGATCATTTTTTTCCTCAAAGGAAACTTCTACACTTTGTCTACTGAAAGTCGTTTCCAAAGTTCATGTAAAGCCACAAAGTCATTTATCTGGAACGGACAATGATAATCATAGATGAGATTTTAGTAATATGAGAAAAAAACATGAACGAATTAACCCGTTTGCTAGCGACATAGTAATGGGAGATGTGGTTTCGGCTTGGACTGAGTAAAAAAACTCAATTTCATTGGTTATCGACATAGTTGTTTAGATGGATGAAAGATGGAGTGGATTTAATATTGGTATCTTTTTTTTTTGAAAGAATATTGGTATCCTAGGGATGAAAAATTGAGATACATTTTCCTAGAACTCTCTTGTTTTTTAATTTATCATTATAAACAATTTTAGAAAGATAAACAATATGAAAAAACCTTGAGTTAATCCAAGCCCAATGGTCAACCCATCAATCACCACATGGATGCAGGCATGCAACACAGTATAAATGCAGGTAAAATCTCCCCAAGAAAATTATGGAAAAAGGAAAATGAAAAGTTAAATTAAGTGAAGTGGTTTACGGGGAGAGATGAAAATACACCTATGCCCATCGGAACTCTGCGGGCTGGCGAGAGGAGGCTGAGGTGTCAAATCGCTTATTCTGACATTGGCTAATTATGTTGTGTAGATCACGTCTCTCCCCTTTTATGAAAAACCTACCAACTCTGGAAACACATTCCAACTGTGAAAAACACTACTATGTGTAGATCCAGCTACCCATGCGTATCAACGGCTTAAGATAGGGTGCATAACTATGAGTAACCAAATTTGGACCCTTATTTTAAGTGGTTGCATATCTAAGGTTGGAGAATTAAATGAATTTATTTTACCTAGTTTTCTTAATTGGATCATATCTTCTCATTCTAACTCGGATTTCAATTTTTTTTTTGCACATATGGAACGAGTTCGTTGTGCTCTACAAAATGATATCCATTTTCAATATTTTTTGAGATTTTGTTTTTCATACCTCTCGTTACCAACTTCATACCATATGGTATCTCCTTCGTTTTTTAGTTGTTTTCAAATTTTTTTGCACAGAAGGAATGATTTAATCATGATTTATTGGATTTCAAAATTTTATGGGTGAAAAAATTTCATACCTCTCGTTACCAACTCCATACCATATTATACCACCCTGTTATGAGGTGGTATTTTTCATACCATATGATATGCTCTTATTTAATACCAGTCAATACCATATGGTACAATCAATACCATATGGTATAGACTGGTAATAACTGACAAATTTTTTTGTTTAAAAAAATATCAAAATGGATATCATTTTGAAGAGCACAATTAATCTGATCAAACTGTACAAAAAAAATTAAATTCTAACTTAAAACGAGTGAGAAATCATCCATTAAAGATTAAAAGAAGAAAAATTAAAGTTTTTTCGAGGAGATAGAAAGAAGCACTAATGTGACAAAATCTTTTTGGATAATGCATGAGGTTATTGCATTATGCTTACTGACTGGATCTGCTCCCCGCATGAACCACCACACAAGTTAAAACACTATCATCTCTGATTACACTACTAACATCTAATAATTAACCAAAAAACACTACTACATCCGAATTTGTTACTAGATTCCTTAAAATGTCATTTTGTTAGTAAAGTGTGTAAACATTGTTACCTTTGAAAACATTACTAAATGTTGGAACTATGATCGTGGTCAACAACAATTTTCTTTTATTTCAAGATTTACCGTAGCAATTTCGTGCATGTGGTATTGATTTTATGCCTTATTAGTAGTGATTTTGATAACTATTTGATACAATCAAACAAACTATTATTGTTAATAGTCATGAAATCACTACAATAAAATTTGTAATGATGTAATATCCATCAAATCGCTATTATTAAATCACTACGACTACTACGTACGTATCATCATATCTACAAATCTCGTAACTATATAATCAGTACCATAGAATCATTGCTACTACGCCAAAACTACTACTACAAAAAATGTCCCACCATCCACAAAAATGCCCAAATCTAAAAATACGCCAATTAACCCTAAGCACCATGCCGTGATTGCCTGTCGCTAGAAAAGACGAGCCTTTACTCCACTACTCCATTCCCGGTTATAAAATAGCAAATAATGAGAGAATAAAATGGCGACTTCATATCCCACATAAACTACTACAGATCTAGAAAAATCATTTTACTACTAAGTGATCCGGAAACCACAAACCAACAATAATTATTATTATTAGAACTATTAAGTCCCAAGTTTCAAAAAAGTCGGAGTTACTGTTCATTACGAAATTTTCGCCGTACTGTTCACGGGCTCACATAGGAACGGCAGCACCTGATTACATCCTCCAAAGAAATAGAAACGACAGCGCCTACATTCTAAAAGAAAAGGAAAATAAAAAAAATAGAAAAGGATGGTTGTGCAAAGCTCTCTGCATTTCCCCTCTCCCGTATACCAAAACCCACCCCGATCCCTAATCTCATTCAATAGTGTCGGGGAACCTCGCTCCGGCAGGCGGCGGCGACCCCGACCCGTAATCTCATTCAACGGCGTCGGAGAACCTCGCTCCGGTAGGTGGCGACGGAGGAGCCTCTTCAGAACCCACAGTCCTTACCCAATGGCGCCGGCGGAGGAGCCTCTTCAGAACCCACAGTCGTTACCCCTAATTGCATTCAACGGCGCCGGGAAACCTCGCTCCGGCAGGCGGTGGTGGCGGAGCCTCTTCAAAACCCACAGGCCACAATGCCTCTTCAGAACCCACAGGCCACAACGTTTCATCACCCGGATTTGTCCCGCCATAACAAATCGAATCACTGGATTTCGACGAGTCAATAACTCGGTAAATGCTTCTCACTATCTACCAGTCTACTCCTCTGCTAAACTGATATTCTTCAAGAGACGAAATTGGGTATCTTCGTATCTGGCAAGTAGGGAATTGATAAACAGATTTGGGTTTGTGCAGTTGTTGTAGTTGTCGTGATGAAAATAGCGCCAGAAACTATAATCACAACTTTGGATAGCCTGAGCGATCATGTTAATCGACTGAACATCAGCGAGTTCATTAAAAGATCTGATTATAAGGTAATCACGACTTTGGATAGCCTGAGCGATCATGTTAATCGACTGAACATCAGCGAGTTCATTAAAAGATCTGATTATAAGGTAATCACGACTTTGGATAGCCTGAGCGATCATGTTAATCGACTGAACATCAACGAGTTCATTAAAACATCTGATTATAAGGTTATGGCTTTGGGCAAGAAGTTCAAGCTGATTAAGGTGGAGGGACTCAATTGAATGATATTGTATACTTGCAGGTATGATTGAAATGGAATGTTTATGAATAAAATGTGTTTAAGTTCAGGCTTCATTGTAGTTAGCTTATAGGATGATGCGAAACAAATAGGGTGCTAAGGACTACTGAAGTAGTATGAAGAGCAGTTCATTGATTTTTGTACATTGAGTTTTCATTTTATCATGTAATGAAATTAAGTAAAAGTGAATAAGGTCTAATATGATGAATTATGTTTTGTTCAGGAGCTTCAGTACAACCATTGAAGGAAGATGTCACACCTTAGAGTGATACAGATGTGATGAAGTAGAACAAGAACCCAAGACTGTCATACTTCAGTAAGTTTTTCTTCTTCAATTTTTAGTTATGAACATTGATAAAAGGTGGGTTTATTTCAGCTTAGAGTAAAACCACGTCTAAGCTTCGTATAAGATCAAATTTCCATGGGGACATTACGAATTGCTTTAAATTTGTATATGAACTGATCTAAGCTTTATGTTCTGCGTCAACATTAAGAGATGATCCTCTTTGGTTCTATAAGGGTTATGATGGTAGCTTAGTATACTGGTGTAATAGTTCTAATCATGAATGGTTTTTAATTAAAAAAACGATTATCAAGAATTTCTGTTTTGCTCACGTTATTATCAATTGTCATGAAATTTACTTTCAATGTAATTGATCAGCAGTAATTCTTCTTTTACGCGAAAAATGGGACTAATTAGAAGGAAAAACTCTAACCGTACAAAGAAGTGAAATTTTGTATGCAGGGAAGCTAATAAGGAATATTTTAATTAGAATACAATTAGACTTCTACTTTTGTGCTAATTATTCCGAGTAAGTGAAAAACTCTCCAGTTCCGCTCCGAATTAATTTGTCCCTATTAAGGCAGAAAAAGAAATAGGAATAAATATGAGTGTATGAGTACATGTTGGTTTTTTGGTTATCCAAACCAAAACCAAAACCAATAAGGGTCTTAATGGTTTTGGTTTTGGTTTTTGGGATTTGGTTTTTGGTTTTTCATACTTAATGGTTTGGTTAACCAAACCAAACCAAATTGACAGCCCTAGGCAGGGTCAAAGTCTTGATGTAGTGGAGGTCTACCTGCCTAAGCTGGTGTTCAATCATGGCCAATTGTACGTAGCAGTTTCGCGAGTACGACCAGCTGACGGCTTGCATATACTGATTGACAACGATGGCGGAAGTTCCACAATCATATACTAGAAATATAGTATATCACGAGACATTTGCTGATGTGCACACCGCACCGACATCACACACAGGTAAATAAATTTAAATAGCCTATAATTATTTCTCACCCTCCCTTACATTCATTCACCAATGAATGTGCTTATAAATGATACAGATGACAAGGACTCCGATAGTGAGCAGTTCAGGAACCAGGATATATAAGAAGGGACTCCTTTCATACTCTTTCACAGGTAACCAAATTTTGCCGAACATTACTAATAGTCAAATAATATATACGCCAAAACCACAAGACGTATATAATTATAAATGGGTTAGCAACTCAAGTTTGATTTATAATTTATCACTAGAATTTTTTCATAAACATTATCAATGTGTTAACCATGCCAAGAACAACGTGCATTGAAGCCAACCTTTTCTAAGTTACAATTGTCTAATGATGGAATAAAACCAAATAGAACAAACATTTATAGAGGTACATAATCGAATACAGCAAAAATTTATACTGGTACAAAGTAGGTCATTAAGACTATCGACGATATAATTTTTTTTTATCATTAGCGTGATATTAAATTAGTGTTGGGTTCTAATCAAGTTGCACTTCCTTTTGGTTTTCCAGATCACTATATCGGATGCACCACAACAACTATCGGTGAGCTCTCCACTAAAGGAACTTCAATACGCTACAAATGATAATGTCAACCAAATTATCGGCATGCCAAGACCATTGTCATTTCTTTTTTTGTGAAATTTCATTATATTTCATTGTAATATTTTTCCGATAAACCACAAACACTATGAATATCGATTTTTACAACATTAAAATAAACACACGCACGATCAAATTATATTATTCAACATTAACAACAGAGTAAACGAATTACGAATCAAATCCCGTTGCGTAGCACGGGCTAATTCTCTAGTATTGTATTAAGGCGAAAACCATCAAAAAGTAAAAACACTACACATAAAAATACTACAGATCTACAAAATTTGCTTCCACTGCCATGCTCGCCGAGAAGCCACTGAAAGAGACCGGATCTGAAATCCAAAACCGACCCTAAGTCTATACCTACACATACCAAAGGAATCAGAGAGTGGCAACTCGATAGCAGCGGATGGACGAATGAAGTCAATGGCGGTGCACGAGGGAGCAATGCAACAAACATGGCAAGGATGAGCGCGGCACGGATGGCGACGCGAACGACGATGAGCAAATAGAAAATGAACTATCAAGATCAGGATAGGATAGGATGAGGGAAAATAATGATTCAATGGAGTAGTCTTAGTTTGGAGATATATTAGCGACGAAGAAGATATGAGAGGAAGAAGAAAGATGAACAAAAGGGAATGGAGAAAGAGATGGATTGTGAGTCGTGACTCTTTAGATCTGCAATTCCTCTCCACCCCACCTCTTTCTCTCCCAAAAATCATGCTCTTTAATAATAATTAAATAATAATCAAATTTGAGAACACCTAAAATACCCCCAATTTATAAGACCCATTAGATTATGTGAAAAGACAATGAACGGGGATGGAATAAGTTTGCACGGTGGGTTAGCATCACATCTCACTCCAAGATTATTACTTACACTATGTTTGGCAACAAAGGATGCAAGTTCGACCAGGGTGCAAGTTGAGTGGTAAATTGCTGGGGTGCAATTTGGTAGGGATGTAAGTGAAGGGGTAAATTGTTGTTTGGATGAAAAAGTAAGGGGTGCAAATATAATGAAAATTAAGTAATTATATTATTATAAAAAAGATTTATTAAATTTATAAAATATTATCATAAAATAATAAAAATAAAATAACAATTAATATATATTAATAAAATAATTATTTTAAAATATTTTTCAAATAATAATCAATTATAACAACAATAATAATTATTGGTCGAGCGACCTCAAAACTCAAAACCCAACTCGTAACTGGTTCTCCTAAGGGGGTTCTCGTGCTTATATTTAAATTGAATATGGTCAAACTTAGTCAAACACGTTCGAATCTGTAAGTTTTAACTATTTAGTTAAGTAAACTGAGTCAACTAAACTGTTTCTCTCTATCTTTTCCACAAACGCTTCTTATCTTTAATTTTCAATGCAAATTATCTAAGAGATATCGATTTGACTAGACGAACATTAACAAATTTGCTCTCGAAGTCAAACGTTCAACCCAGAACAACGTCTACAATAATGATAGCTATAAGAAAAAAAAAATTATTATTATTATGTAATTATAATATAATTTAAAAAATCCATAATTTCCCCCTCCCCTTCCTTCCTTCCCTTGCACTCCAATTCGGGGGTAAGCCGAAATAGTAATTCTGCACCTCCGTTTTGCACCCTCCTACTGTTACAAATTATCCAAACGCGTGCAAATATTTTGAAAATTGTATTTATCCCTCCCATTTGCAGTCTCCTCCCATTTGCACCTCTTCTCAAACATAGTGTTAGCAATACTGCTCCATATTGCAAATCAATAATATGTGTAATGCATTCTTCAAGGAGGTTAAGGGTCTTCACACTTCCTTACATCGTACTTTTTTCCATTTTGATTTGTTCAAGTATATAGAATAATTTTCCATACCATAATAAGAAATGCTCTCTTTCGGCTATCTCTTTAACCTCTCAAAGTACTGTATCTACATGTTCCGTTTTACAATATCGTTGGAAAGAAGTGTTGGTTTTTAAGAGTAGTCTTCCTGTTCCTCATGAAGCCTGGCGGAATGATTTTCTTTGGCGATGAAGACGTTCTCTTATTAAGTCAAGTTTGGTATTTCAAAATTTCAACAAAATTTGAATATGTTTAAAGTCCATTTCGTCACCAGCGTGCATATTAAAAGCTGCAAAATCAACATTATAAAATAAGAAGGCGCGAACTTGTCAATGCGACCAAGTATGTAACGAAGTCTGTAAATGTAATCATATTAGTCAAATATTGGATATCCTTTTCATACTCCTTAAAACAATAATTGTATATATAGTTCACCTAACGAGATAGCAAATATGAGAAATAGAACTAGATAGCTCATGTCAATTACGCAACTAACTTTAGAAATGCTAACCCCAGTCCTATATGTCTTTGGTTCAGTATCCTTAGTTAATGCAAACTTTAGAAAAGTTTTCTCAATCCACTAGCAACACGTACTTTTTCAACCTCCTATTTTTCTTTGGATTTTTTTTTTTATATAGGCATCACCTTCCATGTGTTATGGACATCCAGCTGTGTACCCCCAAAAGTTGAAATTTTACCATAATTTGTCATATAAAAGAATCAAATGATTTTATCATGCTAACATACTTACAATAATAAAAAAACACATTAAGGTATGTCATGTGGGTTTGATTTTTGCCTACAAGATGGTCAAACCATATTACACTCAGTATGCCCGACCGGTGGCGGATCCAGAAATTTTTATAGGCGTGTCCTCTTCCAAACCAAAATTTAATTAAATAATTCATAAATAAAAAAATATCCGACTACTGCAAATATACCATATTAGACAATAATTCACGAATTGATCGCATATTCGATTTCTAACTTTGTTCCTGATGTAACTCAAATTTGAAAGACTCTTTCAACTCTTGCAGTATACCTATAAAATCAATTCAGATTAAGGATAGCTCAAATGAGTTTAATTGTTAGGTTTTGAAAATAATTGGGAATAATGAATAGTGTTTTTCTATAACACAATGTTTAAAATAGAACAACAAAGAAGTTGCAACCTAGAGAATATGTTTAATAATAGTAGTGTCATAGGTTTGAATAACACAGAGTAATACTTATATATTTTTAATCATACGCAAACTACTACCGATGACAGGATAATCGTTTTTCAAAATTTAAGGGTGTCTCGGATTACCAATTATAATATTTTTATCCATACGAAACTACTACCGGGAGTTGGATAACCGTTTTCCCAAATTTTAGTGGTGTCAAGCCCATGTATCCGCCACTGCGCCCAACCCCTATAATATGGTCGTTGTTGCGCACCATCATCTAGCGATGCCCTCGTGTATCATGAAGCAAAAGGTGCAAGGAGGCACCATGATTCAAACATCAACCTTCATGCGACGAAGTTCTTCCTTTCTTAGTCATTTGATTTGAGAGTTATGACTATAATGAGGAGCTACTAAGAAGAGGGCCGGATCCAGGACTGAGGAGGAGACCACCATCAATATTTCGTCGTTATCAGAACGATTGAGAAGTAGTACTCCATGTTAGTCGATGGAGCAGTTTCTTCAAAACCTTCTCATGATTATAAATAAAAGACTAATTAGGATGATAGATTGGGGGGTTGACAACAATCAAAACTGAGACACTATTTGTCAATTGGTTTTCTCATTCTTATGGAATCTCATTATCTTTCTTGGTCTTGTTGCCTCATCCTCAGCGGGCTTTTCGTCCACAATTCCTCCACAAAACTCGATGAGCAGCCAGAGTATGTATGAGGAGGCCGTTTAGTGGTGTAGCGGAGGAGCTAGGACTCGTTGGAAACCTTGCTTCTATACAGGAGGTGACACATATGGCTTGACGGATAGAAGAAAACAAAAATTCCCCATGATGGTGAACTAGGATAATCGATCGAAGGCCTACAAGTATTTATCTTGAACAACTAAAATTCAAGGGACTATAAAGAGAGTATAGTTATTATTTCGGCAACAGAAAGTTAACTTATATGAGTTTGAAGTTTGCACAAATCTAAATATATAGTATGCTTAACAAATGAGATTGTTAAAATTAGAACACAAGAACTATCAATCATTTATTATCAATTAGATATTCCCTAATTTTTCTTTTTAACAAAAGGTAACCATATATTGATTGGAACAAATAGATAGTTACATCCTGGAATTCAACCAGGTCTGAAAATAAAATAAAAAAATAACACGTAGTCGGGAACAAAGACAGAGCATGTCTAGCTACCAAATGAGCTACCCTATTGCTACCTCGACCTACAAATCGCACACTGAAGCCCGTAATCGAAGCGAAAATCTACACAATCTCTTCCACAATAGTCCCCATCCGACTATCTTGAACATATGCTCGATCGACAGACTTTATCAATGACTACTTTGGCGTCACCCTCAAATCGCATTGCCGAGAAGCCCTGCCCCAAACACCAACGAACAGCCTCTCGGAGGACAAGTAACTCCACTACCATTGGATCATCAATAAAAGGGAACTAAACCCCTATTTCTTAAAGGACCTCTCGCGCAACATTGAGGATAACCTTCTCCCTGCTGAATGAGACCCGCTTCTTACTGCGCCATCCCACATACACACATGCACACAAGACCCATCTGAATCCACCGAAGAAGGCAATGGACTGGAAAATGAGAGGGGTTGATGATCAACAGGTAAACGAAGCCATTCCTCAACCTGCTGGTTATACTGCCTCATTAAGGCAGGGATCCCGAACTGTTTACCTTCAAAGACAACCCAGTTGCGAGATCTCTATATCCTCCAAAGGACAACAACCACCACCACTAACTGCGAAGGTTGACGTATAATAGACTACAACTTTTTCAGAAAAAGAGGGAACGTATGCCGAGGCAAACATTCATCAAGAAATTCTAATCAAGAATGGTCCCAAATGGACCATGCAATAGGACAGTCAAGGAACAAATGTTCCATTATCTCCGAAGCAGCCCAACACATATGACATTGTGAAAGAAACGCAACCTTTCTTTCAATAAGTGCTTCTGTCGTCGGCATAATTTTATTAAAGATTTGCCAGACAAACGCCTTCAGCTTCAGAGTAATGTTAGCCTCCCACAACCTAATCCAACTCGGTTTATCCATCTAGCTAACAAGGGCGCGCCAACGGCCATTCTGTTGATCAAGGAGGACCGCAAAGTGATATGTCGATTTGAAAGTGAAAACACCATCAATAGTGGCATGCCAGATTAAGTTATCCTCAATGTTTTGCCGAGGAAGGGGCATGGCCTTAATTGCTTGACAGGTCTGGCGATCAAACACACCATCGCCCCTCCCTAGGACAGAGAACTTCAGACATCGTCGGATCCCCCCCCCCCCCCCCCCCCAGGAAGAACCCGAGGGTTATACACAGGGGGAAGAGGATGTTGCTGTGGAATCCAGTTTGTATTAAGCAGAGAAGCCGTTTGACCATTACCAATTTGCCACCGTAACCCCTTGGCTAACAGTTGGCATCCAAAGAGGATACTCTGCCACCCCCAAGAAGGACGGGAACGAGCCGTAGTTGTGAGGAAGGACCCCATGGGAAAATACTTCCCTTTTGTAAACCTGGGCTAAGAGGGAATGAGGTTCATTTAGGATCCGCCATCCTATTTTAGCCAACGAAGCCTGATTAAAATATTCGAATCGACAGAAACCCATACCCCCTCATATTTACTCCTGCACAAATTACGCTAGGAGGCCAAGCGAATCCTGGAGTGTCCGTCCTCCACACCCCCACCAAAATCTAGCCACATGCTTGTCCAGGAGTCGAGAAAGAGACAGAGGAATCCTAAAACAGGACATAACATGTAATGACAGAACTAACGCAACAGACTTAATCAATGT